ATGAAGACATCAAAAGCAGACTTGGAAAAGCCAGAGCAGCATTCAGCAAGCTTAGAAACATATGGAAGAGTAGTCAACTGAAATTGAAAACTTAGCTGAAGATCTTTAAGTCCAACGTTGTAGCTAGTCTGTTATATGATTGTGAAACATGGCGTATGACTGAAAGAGATGCGACCAAGCTAGACGTATTTCTACATAAAAGTCTGAGAAGGCTTATGAAGATCTATTGGCCTATGAAAATATCAAATGAGGAGATTCGAAAGCGGGCCAACATCAGTACCATAAGAGAGCAAATCTTCCGGCGGCGCTGGAAGTTCATCGGCCACGTTCTCAGAATCGATCCAAATAAACATCCCAAGACAGCATTAACATGGGTCCCAGAGGGAAGAAGAGGTCGTGGCAGACCGAAAGAGACTTCGCGGAGAACCGCAGAAAAAGAGAGAACAGCATTGGGTTTTGGCTCATGGAGCGAGGCAACAGTGGCTGCTCGTGACCATGTGACATGGCGAAGGAGAATGTCTGGCCCTATACCCACTTAGGGTTACGGTCAAAATCATTGGAATGTTCTGTTTTGTCTTGTTCGTAGTTTGTTAATGTACTCTACTGATATACCATGTTGCAAATAATGCTTGTATTTTGAAATAACGCATATGCTGTAAGAAAATAAATATCTAAAAAGGGTGCAAGTATTTTTATTCTCAGCAATCTGGGTGTTGTATTTTAAGTGCCTAAAAAAAACTGATCGACACCCTTTCGGGACTGAACTACTTTTATCATACCAAACTCGTTGATGTGAGTTCAATATTAACACTAAAGTTGACTGTTGAAAAAAAGAAGGATATTTACACTTTTATATAATGGTTATGTATAAGCGTCACTTCAGTCTCATATGTTCGTCATAATGTTGGATGACACATGCCTCGCTGCTAAATTCCTTCAGACAAATCCAACAGGTCAGGCTTTCAACTTGGCTTGAATTTTCTTCAGTCAAAGAGGGCAGCATACAAGATTTCTTGCCACCGAGAGCTGCAGTTGGCTCCTGAAGGTCTCTTCTTGATTTAGAACAATGATCATGTTGCTTCTGTTTTAAGGAGCTGGCTCTTGCATGTCTCTCTTCATGTCGCCTGCAGTTTGACGACCCACTAAACGTCTTTTCACAATGCTTGCGTGTATACGGCTTCTCTCTTGTGTGAGTTCGTTCATGTTCCTTGCAAGTCGATGACCGGCTAAAGCACTTTTTACAATGCTTGCATGCATATGGCTTCTCTCCGGTGTGAGTTCGTTCGTGTTGCTTGCAACTTGATGACTCGCTAAAGCACTCTTTACAATGCTTGCATGTATACGGCTTCTCTCCTGTGTGAGTTCGTTCATGTTTCTTGCAACTTGATGAGTAGCTGAAGGACTTATTACAATGCTTGCATGTATATGGCTTCTCTCCTGTGTGAGTTCGTTCATGTTCCTTGCAAGTTGATGACTGGCTAAAGCACTTTTTACAATGCTTGCATGTATACGGCTTCTCTCCTGTGTGAGTTCGTTCATGTTCCCTGCAATTCGATAAGCTGCTAAAGCACAAATTACAATAACTGCATGTATACGGCTTTTCTCCTGTGTGAATCCGTTCATGTTGCTTGCAGTTGGAAGATCGGCTAAAGCACTTTTTACAATGCTTACATGCATACAGCTTCTCTCCTGTGTGAGTTCGTTCATGTCCCTTGCAATTCGATAAGTTGCCAAAGCTCTTTTCACAATATGTGCATGTGTATGACTTCATTCCTGTGTGATTTTTATGCTCCATGCAATCTGTTAACTGGTATAAGAACTGGCCACAATGCTTGCGTTGTTTTATCTGCCAAAAAAAGAAAAAGTTAATTTCCTGTTGAAACCTTGGTAGATGGGTCTTAATGATGTTTGTGGACAAATAGTTCCCATGTTCAGATTGTTTTGAAACTTGCCATGCAGAAAGGTAGAGATCTGTAAAAAAAAAAAAGA